ATATAGCTACTCAAACCAGCAAGAATTCAAAACCAAATGGGACACTATATTGTATGTGATTGTTGATAGAAAATGGTGGTTACCTTATAAGCATAAACATATAGGTTCTTCTCTACGTTTCTGGTACTGATACAGTGATTTGTACATATATACTCGAAAGCACAATTAATGTGTTGAAGCTGAATGTCACATGGGGCCATGCATGATGATGATGATGAGAAATGAGTTAGTATATATGCCAGGAAAATCACTTTCCCAAGAAACAAACAGAGCTTTAAATGCAGCTTAAGATTGGTCACTTTCTCTGTAGCATTTGCCTTTGTCGTCCAAGGGAAAATCTAGGTCCACGAACATCTTCATTCATTCACTAACATTATATCATTACATATGGAAAGTGAGTGTATACATGATACCAACCATATGTATAATATTTAATTTCACAGTTCCCATACCATACCCTCTATATTGTATTTATTGGTTTGTTCAACCTATTTATGAATTTACTTTGTGATTGAGACCTATTTATTGCACTGTACCATTTTTTTTCCCCTCATACAAACATGCAGGAGTGGCAGGTCGCTATATACAGCACAGGAACATGTATATCCAGTCACTGATTCAGAGCTTATGTGTCGAATATTGAAGTTTTTCTTCTGCTGTGCACTCAATTGTCCCTATTCACGACAATTACGATATATTAGAATTATGACAGTATTAGATGATTTGTTCTATATATTGGAAACAAATTTCAAAACACATACAAAAGTTGTGAATATAAGGTGGCACAGACATAGAACTATAGTGTGAGAATTAGGATTAGTGTCCTTGCTGATGTTGAAAGTGTGAGAAATGTTAATCAGTCTATGATAATGAAAAAAATTAAAATGAGTCTCTTTTGCTGTTATTTTCTCTTCATTTTAAATTAAAAGAATGACAAGTTATACTTTCAGTTTCTGAATGTTATTATTTTCAAATACCGAAGGAAAAGTTTCTTACCATTTTGATGTTCATTTTAAGTATTCTTCTGGCAATTATGTTGAAATGTATGCTTTTTTTTTTTATTAATAAGTGCAAGTGTAAGAGTGGATTTTCTAACAGTTATACAAGTAGGTCATACTGTGGTTAGTTATGATCAATATTCTCTGTTATAATTAAGTTCTTTATCAGTTGTATCAGATTTCTTGGCTATTTTTGAGGCTTGAACTTATTAACGTGTTTCATTCATGATGAATATTGTGAAAAATTGTGGCATACAGAATGAGAGAAGGTGGTGAAGTCATTAATAATTATTGTATTGTATGATGTAATGTAATAAAAGGGTTCAGTTTGAGTAATGATAGCATGAAGTACTACGATGAGTAACTGATTGCGTATCTACTCTCTCTTGTCTTGATCTTCTTGGATGGATTCCATGCAACCACAACCTACGAACTAGCTAGTTACCAGATCTAATTCTGAGGTAACTGAGACATGGAATTTGGTTGGTTCTCCACAACCTGTTACACAACTTCTATTCACTCATTCTTAGTTTTCATACATTCACAACTCGTGTTAGATATGTTGGTGATAGAGAATATATATATATATATACATGTATATGGACTGAAAAGGAATGGATGCAAAGAATGTTATATATATATATATATATATATATATATATATATATATATATATATATATATATATATATATATAATAATAATGTTTGGTTGATTTGAAAAAAAAAAGTCTCCAAGCTTCATCTTCGTTATTTATTTTATAATAATATAATAATTTTAAAATAATAAATTATGTTAATTATTAAATTTTAAGAAAAGGAGTAATAAAAATAAAAATAAATCTTTAATTCTTATTTTTAAAATGAGTAATATTGTTTTAATATATATATATATATATATATATATATAATATGATTTTAACCTAGACAACTATTTCGGATTTAAATTTAAATATAAAATTACATTAAATATTTAAAAGAAATAATTTAAGTGCACTTATAGTTCTTTTAAATATTTTATCGGTTGAAGGAACAAAAGTGATGCATTTCAAAATTGGAAAAATAAAAAATAGAAAACAAAAACAAATTCAGAGATAATAAAATAAATTTAGTATTTTAAAAAGATTAAAAATATATTTTACTCAAAAATAAATTATAACCTATAAGATGAAGTAAACCAAATTTTTGTAGATGTTATAATTTAACCCTGCATGGTAACAAAACTCATAACTACTTTAAAACGCATTATATATCACTTAAACTAACTACTTAGGTGTTGATAAATGACAAGGCTAATCATGTGAAAAGTGAACAGGAGAGATGAAGAAATTAAAGGTGTCTTTTCAAATATCCCAAGAGACTGTCCTAAGAATTAAGCTTGCAGACATACATCGAAATTTTCGCCCAGTGTCCTTCTATTTGAGGTTAACCCTTTGAGTAGGGTAACAACCAAAAAATAGAAACTAGTTATTTGAGCACAGCTTGCATTGCATTGCATGTTTACATCTTGGTTGATGCTGCTCATAACTTGCACAACAGTGTTCAACATCTTTTCTGTTATCTATAAAAGGAAAAAAACTGATAAAGTTTTTCACCAATGGTGTTGAAGGTGGCAATTGTAGCAGCCTTGGAATGTACTATTTTAAGGGATCAATTAGGATTGGGTCAAAACACTAGCAATTTTTATGCTAACTTCTGTTATCTGTGATAACATTTTTGTTCTATCAGATTCATATATAATGCTCCGTAACACATTCAAAACAAGAAAAAGGGTTATGACGTTGACTAAGAGAAAAGACTCTTCTTTAATGTAGAGAAAGAAAGGGCAGGATAAAACCAGGTTTCTTCAAGCCAATCTGTCTCCGGAATTTCTGGATCAATTTTACTTTTTGTGGCTCCCTCTGAGTATATGTATGTATAAAGGTTATTTAGTGCTCATAATCAACTATTAAAAAAATATTCTCTGTTTTTCTTTTTAATCTTAACCATTTAAATAATTAAAATATAATTAATGGTTTATATGTCTATTAATTACAAATGAGGGTATGTTAGGATTTAAGTATGAGTTTTTCTATAAAAATATTTAAAAGTGGAAAGTATAATCTAAAAGACTGGTATTAGGTTGGAGAGTTTCAAGATTTATAATTACTAAATATTTTATTCTACCTACATTAAATTACTAACATTGTCATTATCTTTTAAGGCGTGACATTCTTAATTATGTATATCTTTTTTAACAGTTTTGCTAATTTTTGAATTTTTTTAATGACAAATTCATGTATAAAGTTCAGGTATGATTTATTATTATTATTATTATTATTATTATTATTTAACATTTAATAATTGCTTTATCTTGAAAAACATGTGATCTTTACTAATTCATATTTAAGCCTAACTTTATTTTGATATTCTACGTTATTTAATTTATTTAAAAATAGTAAAATTATATATTTGTGACCATTAAGTTACAATTAAATCTGTGAATTGAATGTTAATGACTTTACCAGTTCAAAACATCTGTTGAACTTGTCTATGGAGGCATAGGATGAAGATGAATTTTGTTAAGTTTTCCTTTTCCCATTCCAAAGATAATTATAGAAGTCTAAGAATACATGTGCTCATTTACATTAATCAAGCTTGATTTTAAAAGCCAGGGACAACAATTAACGACGAATGTTGCAAAAGTTTTCTTATTTTATAATTGAATTGAATAAAACCATTCCATAAATTAGCCATCCTTATTTCTCACCGATAATTACAAAAGTAGGGTTCTAAAAGAATTAGATAAAACATGACAAGAAACTAAAACATCTTTTTTCATAAAAATAATGTTTGATTTTCGTTCTTTGTAATTTTATGGACTCATAATTTTGACTGTATTTTTTTAAAATTATAATTATCATATAAATTTTGATTTGACTTGTATTCATTTAGGTTTTGAATAGCCTAGCTTTGAATGGGTTTTGTCCAACACACATTTTAACACATGGAAGAAACGGGTTTGAGTAAAGGGCAATCCTTGAACATTTTAGTCTTTTTTGAAACTTGGTTTGTAACTTCTGAATGAATTGAATTTATTTAGTTTTGAAATTTCTCCTGAATGTAATACTTTCTCTATTTTAAGTCTCATCTTGAAGTTTACAAAATGAGCTTATCTTAAGTCGATCTCAGTGGTTTATTTTTCATCCCTTTTAATCCATCTTTTACTTCTTTGATTGTGCCTTATTTTAATGTCAGTTCATACTTTTGACTACTCAGCCTTTATGAAATCTATTTCAAATGAGTTTCATTTATGAAATTCGGAGCAAAGTGTAGATTTATTCATTGACTGCGATCTCAATTAAGTTATTTAATTAATTCTATTTCGGTACCAATTAGATTCATAGAATTGTAGACTGATTGATTAGTGAATTATAGAGGAGTTACTGTGAAGGATTACCCTTTCACCCTCTTTATGAACTTCCATTGCTATTTTTGAAGTATGTCAACTTTTACAAACCTCAATAAAAACCAACAAGAAAGTTAAATAACCGAATTGAACAGAAAGGTGACATTACATTAGTCTGAAGATTGTCCAATGCTTCAATAAGGAAGTATCAAGATCCAATACTCAAACTTGTCTAGTTACAAGTAGAGTCCTACGATTTAAGGAGCGAATGCTAAAAGCCAAGCAAGAAACAAGAAATCTTCATAACTAAAAACTGAACTTGCTATTTACCGGAGGGCTTAACCAGTATACAGAGTAAAAAAATAAATAATATCAGAATGAACACAAGATGACCATACTGGATAATAGAGAGATGACCACCTGGTACAGTTTCAGCTTCCATCAACTTTTGGGAATGATATCTAAAAATGAGAAATCATGAAAAGGTGGCCCTGTAGCAAGTAAGCAACATAGAAGGTGAGTAACAAATTTCCACTACTGAAGAGAAAAATAAACGCATGAGATGAGTGTGACAGAGGGGGCACACAGTGAAGTTGGAATGAAATATGAATATTTTCAAATGTAATCCCAAATGCAAAAATGTGCAGAGCAATGAAGGACAATGGGAGCAGAGTATCCTTTACCTTCTTGTTCTCCTAGAATATAAAATGGAATATGTGCAATCATCTTTGTTGAACCTTCACTCCAGTTTATGCTGCCCACTTTTTGCGTGGTGCCTTGCGTAGGTCGCGAGGGCCCCAATATGGCTGAGCATATAGCAGGGTCTTTCATCAAACCCAGGAAATCACATGCACGTCTCCATACTCTAGCATCAGAAATTCGAGACCGAGCCACCTGAAAAGCATATCCGAAATTAGAAAAATAGTTACATCATTGACCTCTTTATTCTTTGCCCTGCAACTACAACACGATACCTTGCCCAAGGATACACGTGCTCTTGGTATTAACTCTCGATGATGCGTAGCAAGCTTTGCAATGGCTGTCACAACAAAACATAAAAGCCTGGACTGTGATGACCTTCTGTAAGTATCCTTATCCAAACCAAGGGATACCTCCTGTGTCATGCCCACACGACTTCCAAGTAAACAAAGTAGATCAAGTTATCACAGAGGTACGTAGATGTCTCTCAGAACTGGAAGAAGTTGGTGTATACTAATACTACATCATACCTTGAGGAAAGGTTTTCATACAGAAGCAGTTCTAGACTCTCAAAAAGCTCACGGGCTTCATCTTTGTGAGATCCACCACCTCCACCATGCTCTCCAATGGCCCAACATAATTGCAAGGCTAATTCTGTCTAAAGAAAATCAATGAATTTTTATTGCAAGAATAGACAGTTGTACCACCCTCCCACAAATAGTTAAAATAGTTATTGTCTAACCTTGTCTGGACTATCATAAGCTTCTCCAAGTCTGTCCATTATAGGCTTCTGCAATAAATTCAGACCAGGTGTGAAATATAAAATTATTCATGAGTCTTTAGTTAACAACTAACGTTTTTAGAAGAGTTGTTTCTTGACATGGCATTAGAGCCCATATAACTAATCGTTCAAGAATTTGATCCTTGTGGTCCCCATTCCTCTGACAAAGTAAATTTAGAATACCGACCCTTCAAAACCAAAGATTCTTGAATGAGGTAAAACTTTTGGAAAAGTTGATTCTTGGAAGAGCCATAACCCAACAGCATAAACCTTCAGGAGAGTTGGTTCTTGACATAAGCCTAGCTTTCTAAGACGGAAAAAGATCAAGTCCTATATAAATTCACAGCACAAAACACAAATGCTGCTATATTTCAAAGAAAAAGGAAAACAGCCTAAAGAAGCATCAATTGATTCTAAAAACCAATGGAAGGGTATAAGGTAGCTCATCACCAAAAATAAAGTATATTCTCACATAGCACAAGCTTACAATTCACAATCATATAGCAATAGATCACAAAATAAAAAGTTGAACAACATTTGGTCTAAATTCACAAATAAACTGCAGTATATTGTCAGAAAATACCTTTAAAAGGGCAATGAAGTTAGGTGAACGCTGAAATGTAGAGAGCATAAACTCCAAAAGCCGCTTGCGAACCTGAAAAGCACCACAGAACTTTGAATTTAAAGTAACAAGCAGAAGACAGTAATTTAAGTTACAAAAACAAAAATTGAAAGGTGGAATTTATAACAAAGCCCAGGTATTTTTTGTTTAAAGGTGGGACACCTTGAGATTAAGGCCTTGAGGCATTCATTTTGCATTTTTTTACATATAAATTAAGCATAATAGTCACAGGAAAAAGCAAAATATTACAATGTTCTATTTACACAACTCTAAGCTGCTTGCTAGTAAAAGATTCTCTAAGCTGCTTGTTACTAAAAGATTACTCTAAGCTGCTTGTTACTAAAGGATTACTCTAAGCTGCTTCTTACTAAAAGATTACTCTAAGCTGCTTCTTACTAAAAGATTATTCTAGGCTGCTTGCTTGCTCCTTGCAGTGACAATTTATGGACTGGGTTGATTAGTATCTACGGATCATTTGAGGCTTTTTTATCTACTTGTAGCTAAAAGGATAATGCGATATATGAAGGACACTCTTTGACCTATATGTTGTTATTTTCAAAACATGACAAAAATAGTTTTGATAAAAAGTATTTGGCTACTCAGACTCAAATTGATAAGGTGATAAAAGTGAAAGAAAAAGTACAGCAGGATACATGTTTATAATGAGTGGACCATCTAGTTCCCAGTGTTCTAAGTAGTTAATGGTTACATTGACTTCATTTGAGGTTGAATGCATTGCAGCCTCAATGGAGCTTGTCAAGCCTTGTAGCTGGAGGACTTGATGTCTGGTATGAAGATTAGAAGAGAAGAGCCTATGAAATGCTAATCGACAACAAGAAAGCTATAAATTTGGTTAAACATCTTGTTGCTGGAACCTCAGAATAAAAATGTCACTGAATCTCATTCCTTGGGGCTAGATTACAATAGCTTCAGTTTCTATAAAAGAAAAATAAGAGCTTGAAATAGAACACAATAGCTCTACGGACGCCAATAAGCACATCATGCGTTTCGAAATGCCAGTTCTCAAAGGCAATTCTAACTCAAATGACAAGAGAAGATATACCTCATATAAAAATATTTTGTCTGGAAATATTGTAGCAAATCTTGACATAAGCAGGGGAATCAATGCACAAATCAAAGCTGAAAATGAATTTAAAAAAAAAAAGAAGAAGAGAAAAACTGTAAATGCAGCCAAGTCAAATATCCTTAAGAGCACAGAATCTAATAACAAAATTCTCAATATTATTATATAATCCCAAAGCAAACAATCATGGAAAGTGAGTGAACAGAACTTACAATTATTGACTGTATCCAATGCTATGGAGAAGTACACATCAAGAAGACGAGGAGTCATGCTGAGTACTGCTTTCAGCTTATCAGAGTAAGGACTATTGACTGAAGCCTGTAATATTGCACCCATCACTGGAGATGACCAGGGACGCTCCTGAGACATGATAGAATTCACTTTAGGACATTAAACGAAGCTAAACATCAAACAAAAATCCCCAAAGTTGTAATAGGGCTACAATATCAAACAGAGTTGGAACACGTAAAATTTTGTCAAATATTAAACTTTCAATGCAAAGAAAGCAATACTATTGAAAGCAAACTTATTATCAATCTTTTTTTGTGACAAGTGACTACTAACATTGCCCGGTAAACATGATGTGGTTGGGAAAAAATGGCTCAACAACTCAAATTGAACTAACAACCATTACAAACAAGATGAAAGATAACATACAGCGATACCATCATTTTCATCCTTTAAAAGTTCAAGGAACAAAGGATCAGCTACATCAATTGAGCTATTATCCTCGGATTCAGAATCTCCTCCACCATCTTCGATAGTTGAACCAGTATATGCCTCATCCATAAGGGCAAGTAGCATCTACATTGAAAATAAACAAAAACTTTGTAGGGTACACTTTTGCAACAGTGGCTAGACTTCACTCAAATTTAAATAATCAAAGATAACCTTAGGGGCAGTGTTTTTCTGAATAGAAGCTATGCTGCTCCCAATTAGGGGTCCTGAGCTTTTTTCCACCTTTTCCAATGCTACTACCAAAACTAGCAAAGATAGGCAGGAAAACCTTGAATTCATAAGGTTTTGTCAAGGGGAATAAAAAGAAACTTATTCTCAGCATATCCTCAAACTCATTACATGGAACATCTGCAATAACTACATATTTTTCCCAAATGGTTCTTATTAATTGCTGAAGGGAATAGTTCATACTTCCTCCTTTTCTATTTTATTTTTTAACATTGGGGAAGAGGCCTACATAGAATCTTGATTTATGTGTCTAAAAGAAATGAAAGTTAGAAAAATTAAACATGAAAATTTTTTAGCACAGTAACTTTTTCGCCTATCTTGATTATACATTGACCTATGCTGTTCATAAAGAAGAAAAATCACAAGAGTGAAAAAGCAAATGGACAAACAATAGCAATTGTAAATATTAAACTTTTGATTGAAATAAAAAGGTAAAAAAGACATTTATTGAGATGGTCATATAGTTTGAACATACTTGGCAAGTCTACTAAAGATGGAAATAAGGGAAGAAATGACCCAGGTGACATCAAGCCAGGAAAGGCTTTCAAAAATAGTTTCTCTAATCTGCAAGAGTATATAGAAAAAATAGTTAGTTAATACCCCTTGGTCTATTACGCACACAAAAAAATGAGATTACACTCCAACGGTCCAATCACATGCACCAAAGTGACACACATTGTCACAAAAATCTGGCTTATTTGTTTTAAATAAAGTCCTGAAAATTAGTTGTCAAAAACTGGTCCAAGGACCAAAGGTGCACAAAATGTCCCCTTACATGACTAACAAACCACCATGAAGAAACACAAGTAGAAGAGAAAAATATGACCCTGACAACAAATTATATTTGGTTCCATTCATCAGTGATAACATATTCTACTCGAAACCTAAGACATAGACAAAGTTCAATCTTCATAATTCTTGCATCAGGTAGCTGCTAAACAGATTCCCTGTTCAATATTTACTAACATTGTAACAAGAGGATAGTCTAAATTTTAGTGTTCCTCTTCAAACTATTTTTTTGCCATTTATATGGTAAAATATTTAGAAATATCATTACCATGACTCATGCATTTTAAGATTTAGAAGCACAAGAAAGAGTACAGGATAAGTAATAGATTGTACTAACTGGTTCAGAAAATGGCAGGAAAAGTATTTACCGTTTATCCCCCACCCCCCAAACCAAACTGAACCAAATAAAAATTGAAGAGAAAAAGGTAGATACCTTTCACCATTCCAAGCAATCAACTTTAACAACAATGGAAAAAACTGCCAAAAGAATAATTATGCATGATATCAGTTAGAAACATACTATTATTATTTAGTATGGGATAAAGCAAATTTCAAAGCTCGAGGGAACGGACTCATTAATCTCACATGCTTCAAGTTAGACTATAAAAAAATCAGAATTTTCGGAGGGGGCCATATGACTTACCCAAACCAAAGCTGAAATAATTTAACCAATTAGTGAAATTTTTATTATTGTGTCATCCTGAAGACCTTACTTAATAGCTAAAAATATCCAACTATACAAAACACTCATTGAGTAAATATTTTCTCATGCTAATTTTAAACATTTTAATTTTATTTCATGCAGCATTTTTAAAAATGGAGGGTGCGGTAGAATTTTGAGTTACACCTGTGGTAATAAGTTAGGGAAGGAAGTTAGAAGCTTCTTCTTGTTGTTGATGAGAAATTCAAGCGTTGCTTGCGCAACAACAGGATCAGCAAACTCCCTGCAACAGGATACAAATAATTTTACAGAATGATAGCCCAATTCTTATGATATTAGATGTAGAGGTGAAAAAGAAATCCAGTGTTAAGACCTAGTTAGTACAAAAGTAAATTAGGGGTAAATGTTGCAGTGATAAAATGTGAAAAATTCCCCTTTTATTTACTGTTTGGTTGGTCAAGAAAAAGAAGAAATAAATTTTATTTCAAAAACATACTTCAAACAATTTTAGCATAATAAGCCATCTTTGAGACTGAATCAGTAAATTTTTCTCATTCTCAGACTCAAGAAATCCATACAAATCATCAAGAGTTTCTAATATCTCCCTGATATAGTAAATCTCGACACTCCATCACATATATTCTTCTCTTGCCTCTCTGAGCAGGTGGCACAAGGGAACAATGATGATTAAAAATAACTGTATACTACAAATTATTTATTATTTATTTCTTTGGCTTTCCCAGTCTTCTACTGATGTTCATTGCAATAATACTACATTTCTTCCCTCAAATCATCAAAATCCTGTTCGTGAACCACCTATGCTTGAGCGAGCATTGTAATACCAACAAAAAATTATCAAGATTTTTACTTAATTGTACAGTCAAAATTAACTTTTATCACCATGCCAAAGTCACTTCACATCACATTTTTTCAACATAGATAGATAATGCGAAAATAGTCTAAGCACTGATCGTGTAAAAGGTTTTTATACTGTCACACCCAATTACAAAACGATATATACGAAAATTAAAAAAAAAAAAAATAAAATATAAATATAAATATATATATATATATATATATATATATATATCTTTTAACTTATGCAGAAGTTAATTATTACTACTTATGAAGTTTATTTATATTACTTTTTCTTCGCCTATAACTGTTTTTATATGAGTTCATCCGAATAGACCTTTATAACTTTGCCAACTTTTACACTAATTATCTTAAAAATCATAGTGATTCTAATTGGTTGTATGTATAAAAGTAATTTTCCGCCTACAATGCATAGAAATTAAACTCTATAATTATTACCTGCTCAAGCACGACCGAAAAAATGTCCTAAGACTAGGATCAGCATCGTGAAGAACAACCTCCCCAAAGTCTAGGTAAAACTGAAGAATTGCCTGAGAACCAAATAATAAAAAATTAAATCGAATCCAATAATAGACAAAGCGAAATTTTAAGATAAAATCGTCAATTTGATAAAAAAAAAATACGAGTAAAAGAATGCCATTGGAGGTTCGAGATTGAGGGAGGGAAGCGACAGCTCGCTGGAAAATCTTGTTAATGGAGGGATAAACCCTAGCCACCAAGTCCTCCGAATTTTCCGTCTTGCATAATTCATGAAGTTTCTTCACCTAATATAAATGATGAATAACAATTGATAAAAAATAATATTAATCAATAGAGAGTATAATCGAATGAAGATGTGAGAATTGGATGAGAGAGCTACGGAAGGAAGAAGAGAAGGATCAGAAGCGGGATCGTTGGCGGTGTTGGAGTCTCTGCCACTAACGGAGAGCTTTCGGAGGTGAAAATCCCAACCTATATCTTTCTCTGACATTGATTTTGCGACGAAACAATACCGAACTGAAGGAGCAGCAACAGCAACACTACAGAGTAGGAGTAGGAGAAGGTGCGCGTTTATGTTCTTCCATCGACCGAAAAATTGACAGGAGATGAACGACGAGAAGTTTATTTAGGGCATTGGTTTAACGACATATAGAAGTGGGAATTGCTGCGTTTTAATATATGGCCTCCTAATAACAATACAATAATATTATGAAGTAAAATAGCACAGTTAATTTTCCTTAGATAACACACACAAAAAACCAAAATTGCTTAATTTAAAAAAATTCAAAAATTAAATATGTAATTAAAATTTTATATAAAAAAAGTATACATTAATTAGATATAAAAAATATTGATAAGTAAAATTTCCCAAGGTCTTAGCTTTACTCCATCGTAAAATGCCTATATAAATGGATTAATTTTATTATTGTTAGGAGCACGTGCTACTACACTAGAGACATTTAATATATTCATCAAGAATGTATGACCTGAAGCTAAAAATAAGCAAACCTTGTGTACACATGCACACACACAACAAATCCTGTTTGTTTTGTTTGATTTTACTTCAACTGTTTTTGAAAAAATAAAAAAAAAGTTATAAAAATTTATTTACATTCTAGACAGGATAACATTTTCAAGTTTGTTTGGATAAATTATTTTGTTTGAATAATATAAACTTAAATTCCTTTTAGATATAAAACTTAAAAAAAAATCATTATATTTCTTTAATGAAATTATCACTCAAAACAAGTGAAAAATTATTTTGGCGTCTAAATTTAGTCTCACTACTGTCACCATTAATTAATTAATTAATTGCGAAGGTATTGTAATTTGGTTGAAGTAAAACAACACAAACGATTATTGTTGAACATTTCTTTTAGTCAAACACCCATTTTAGAGTAATGTCAATCTAAAGCAAAATGAGGATAACATAAGAAATGCTGAACTTGGATTATATCCTGAAGCCTGTGACAGAAAGCATCAACACAAGATGACTCAAAATTGTTACCTAGTAAAAGGTTTCTCAATTTGTTGTGATTTGCTCTGACTTCTCTGCCAAGCTCATTCTCATCATCCATCACAATTTTCACAGCTTTGCACACACTTTCCTGTGGGTGAACAAACCATCTTCTTCACCTTTTTCCACTTCCACTCTTACCCTCAATTTTCCACCCATGGTTCTTGCGTTGATGAAATCAGAACCAAGGCAGGGTAACAGCACCAACTGGCACTGGTTCACAAGTGCCTCAGTTAGAGAAGCTGCACCGCAGTGTGTTATGAAGCACCCAATAGAAGGGTGTTCCAAGATCAACTGTTGCTGCACCCACCCCCCATATAAAACACCTCTTTCTTGAACCCTTTCTTTGAACCCTTTTGGGAGAGCGTCCTCAATGGACTCAAACTCAGTAGGAGGCTTAAGTGCTGCAAGAAATGGCATTCCAGTTAGCTCAAGACCCGATAACAATTCTTGCAATTGGTTTTGCTGTAAGGAGTTTTCACTTCCAAATGCACAGTAAATCACGGAACCAGCCTTGAATCTACCAAGCCATTCACCCCATTTTTCTTCCAAAGTAGAGTTGGATGACTCGGGCGAAGAGGACCTGAAAGCAAAACAGGTTTACCAAACTGTGTCTCTAGATAATCCACATACGGCCCTTCAATTTCTCTGCAACCTTTGAATCCAATAGCATCTGCCAAATGTGCACCGACAGAGATACGATCATATATAAGAGCACCATTGCCGAACTCCAGTTTCCTTCCTGCACCAAGGAACCTAACTTCGTGTTCATGCAGCTTGATAGAACAATCAGGAAACCTGAAGGTGGTTTTCTCATGGCATCTTCTCTTTGTCTAGCTGAGGATGTCATCTATATTGAGATAAAAATATTTAATTAACTAAATTATAGGTTTATTTAGAAGTATAAAATATTGAATAATTAGATCTTCTTTTATTTAATCCTCGTTTATAAGAGTAAAATATTATAAGATTATAGTATCTCGTATAAAAAAATATATGAATAAAATTATAGAATAAATTTTATGTTTTTTAATTTAGTATCGAGCTTTAGTTATTTGTGAGACTGTCAATAGGTTATATTTTAAAAAAAGAACAACAAGAATAATATCAAGGTTCAAATTGTTTGAAATAGAGACAGTTCATTCTCCAATGATAGTGGATTTACTACCATTGACTGTGAAAATACTTTTTTGTGAGGAAGGTTTAAGATTTTTAATCTGTCTAACATCAAAAGTCACATGATCAGAATACACAGATTTAATTATTCATGCATTATTCAGAACGGTAGATGTGTTTATTAAAGTCTTACCATTAGAATCATCATTACCTGCGATTGTAGCAAACATCATGTTTTTGTCGTCCTCATGCCTTTATCGTAATCTTTGTCAATGGTAGTTACAGCAACAACAATTGAATTTCTTTATGAATTCTTCTTCGATACTCGACTGTGATCCCACCATTCAGGGTATCCTATGATTTCATAGGATCGTTCCTTGGTGTGTCCATCCTTATTATAGTGAGTACACTTGTAGTTACCTTTTTCAAAATCTTTTGATTGCTTTGATTTGCTGTAATGATTTGTTGGCTGCTTCTTTGTCATCATAGAAGTGAAATAAAAAATTATATCTTCTGTTTTCAACGTTATTTGTCGGACTGTCTCTCTCCGGATCAATGCATAGTATTATTCTAAATCAGGTGTCACTTCCTTGCGCAAGATTTCTCCACGAACTTGTACAAAATCATCATCCAGTCCAGCAAGAAATATATGCACCATTAATCTTTCAATAGACTTCTGATATGACTTCACATCATCATGGTCATTCATGACTACTTTGTCACGATTGTCCAATTCCCTAAAAATCTCAACCAACTCCCCATAATATTCAATTAAGGTTCTATTATTTTGTTTTGTAGTGAATGTCCTTTGATTCAAGACAAACACATGTAGCTCACCACTTCCATCATAAAACTCCATTGACAAAACATTTCAAATATCGAGGGCAGTGGATAAGCGAAGATAGATTTTCATGATTTCTGGTTTCATGGACATTAGTAGCCATCTTTTCACTTTTTGGTTTTCAGCATACCATTTTTCATAACCTTCATATTTCTCTATTGAAGGTTTCACCTTCCACAGATGTAGGACAAATTTTCCCTTTCTGCAATGTGCATCTCATTAGTTGTGACTATACGTCATAATTAGATTCATTTAAGATGATGCCTATGTTGAAGACACATTTAGATTGAACAACCACTGGAATTAGTTTTTCTGTCATATCTCCAGTTAAGATCTCCAAGGATGATGCCTATTGTTGCAGGACTAATAATCCAGTACTGAAGAGACTTGATCCCTATCCTACCAGTCAAGTTTGGCAGCCAATATGTGGCAAAATCAAATAAAACAATGTGTGGTTTGAGCTCAAGGAGGTGTTAAGTGGTAAAAAGTTGATATAATTATGCTTTGAATTGTTATGAAACCACTTAACTTATGTTAATTCTAATCTATTTTTCTCCCAATATAGGATGAATTCAAGAATACCTTGATACAAGAGTAAGGAGCATGATTGATAGCATAATTGGAGTAAAATTGGAAGAAGGAAGAAGATTTTTAGCATGGAAGTCGCTCGAGCGGGATGGATTCTCTTTTGAGCGAATGTTAATTATTCTTCTCTGGAGTTCACTCTCTCAAGCGAGACAAGATTCGCTTGAGGGAATATAAGTTATTTTTCTCTGAAAGTCGGTCGCTCAAGCGCAGGAAAATTCGCTTGAGCAAATGTTAATTATTCTTCTCTAGAGTTCATTCGCTCAAGCGAGCGTTTTTTCGCTTGAGCAAAAATAGGCTACTTTCACTTGAGCGAAAGTTCTCGCTCGAGCGAAAGACGTGAAACCCAAAAAGCCCAATTTTTTCCAATAAAAAGAGAAGATGTGTTTTGAGAAAAAGAAGCGGTTTTGGAGGAGAAGAGGCGCGACTACTGCTAGGGTTTCATCCAATTTTCATCAATTCTTCACTTCTTCCACAATTTGAGCATTGTAATGGCCAACATGAGTGGCTAACTTCATTCTCTTAGGATTCGGTACACTTCCTTTGAACTTTTTTGTATCATGGTGATATTTTGAGATATTAATCTATGTTTTGATGTTGTTATTCTTATCCTTTGTGCTTTGGAATGATTTATTCTTGATGTTTGAGGTATGATTGGAAAATATATCTTAAACCTAGATCACGGTAAAAATATTTGTTACGTTAATTGTCAGGAATGGAATGAATGTATCAATTGCTTAACACCCTAAACCTAATACTGGAAAATCTCTTAATTGTGTGAGGAATAAACATTTATTAGGTTTTCTTATGAATTTCATGTGTGAGGAATCAACATGGATGATTTGAGTAGGTGACATCAACATTGTTAGGTTAATTGACGTTCTTAATCGACATAGCTATTACAAAAGAGGGATAAGGAAGGAAATTAATCCTAAGTACCTTTAATTGATATTTTCTCAACAATTGACAATTCTTTTCATTTAATTTCAATTCAACTCTTATTGCAAAATCCAATCTGTTTTAATCCACTTAGTAAGCATAATTGAGAATTTTCATTGAAACCGTTCCTCGTGGGATCGACTTTTATTTAATCGAAATACTATACTGTGATTGATAATTTTGGTACGCTTGCCAATAATTCAACATGAGAAGTTCAATATCCTTCTCTGTGAGATCCATGGCAGAGGCAATAAGTGGGAACAAAGATGAGGGAACATCTGAAGTAGTTTCTGCATCATAGGGAAGACCATCAACGTGAGGAACAATGACAGGGACAAAAGTGATGAGACTTGGGTGAAGGTTGAGGTTTTCTAATTTGGCTTGTGTTCTTCTGGGTATGAAGAATGAGATTTTGTGTCCCCTTTTGGCTAACTTGTTGGCAAGGTGGAGAAATGGGGTTAAGTGCCCCATAGCAAACCATGGATACATTGTTATGTGCAAAGAAGCTGCATCCATTGTGCAATAGATAGTTGTAGGCTTGTTGTGTATCTTATTCTTATAGAAAAAGGGTTCTGTCTGGAAAACCTTAATAAATGTGTTTGTTTTACATTACTTGTCCAACCATTGGCACCACCAAATTTCAAGGTTTCACTTCGAACTAAATATTTAATCAGAAAAAAGAAAGTGAGATGGATACTTTCTTTTACATCAGAAGGGCTTTGAGGACACGTCTGTCGCACCTGTTAACTACAAGGATTTTTCTGAATGCACATGATAAGGTTTCATAAACAAGACAAAATCCAAAGTGTTGCACAGGCCAAATAAACAATGTATTATAATGTTAAGAACAGACGGAGTGTTCGATATAATAAAATAAACATAACAAACAACTATTCCATAATCATTTGTATCCACATGGAAGAAAGAGAAAGGAGATATTATAGCAAGATTTATATTTTTTTATTATAGTTTGTTTACATGCTATGTAAAAGTATTTTGATAAAAAACAACAACAATGTAACGTAAAATATTAAAATATGCAGTAAAAATAATCTTTTTAAATTTGTAAAAATATATGAACAATAACAACAAAAAACATGAGAAATAATCTCAACAAACAATACCAATATTTTTGGCATGATAAAATCCCTTAATAGTTAATTAAACTCTACTCAAATCAAAGTATGAGTATAACATAATCAAATCAAAATGTACAAATAACCGTCTACAAAATAGTCAATATATCAAAATAACATCCCTTTTAAAATGTGAAGAATAAAGAAAAGAAACGTAAAAATCAGTCACAGTACGAGATATTGATATTTCCCGCCACATATTTCTAATTGATGATTCCAACGGTCAAAACAAATACCCTTATACTGTAAACCTGTTGTTAAAATTTCAGCCCAATCAAACAGTGAAGAATTGGTGCAAACCTGTTGTTAAAATTTCAACCCGATCAAATGGTGAACGAAATGGAAATTATAATTTTAAAATTTCAGTCCGATCAAACGATAAACGAAATGGAAATCATAATTTTACTAAGATGGTTCGGTAAATAAGCAAAGTGGTTTCTTCTCTTCTTCTCCAAAGGCTGTCAAATTTACTTCTCTGTTATGACCTAGAAAACCCTTCTCCACTTAGGGTAAGTGAGATAAAATGAACTGGATTAATTTGGGTTTTTAGACACATAGTTGGAAACCTAACCCAACGCATCTCCCTCTCACAACTATGTGGAGATTACTACCAATCTGACAATCTCACAACAAGTTTCAAACTTCGTCTTGGCAGTGTCTTAGTCATCATATTTGCATCATTGTCATCTGTATGCATTTTATCTAACTCCAACAACTTAGCATCCAAAGCATCATAATGATACCTCACATCAATATGTTTGGATCTAGAATGAAAAGTTAGATTGTTACCAAGATAAATAACACTCCGATGATCCATAAATAATCGATAATTGTTCTGTAAAAAATCAAATTTCTACAAATCAACTATAGCAACTGATGGATTGCATTTATGCACCCACTTTTCATCCTAACTTTAATTAATTAGCAATTAAATCACAGTTAATTTATGTTTAATTAGTTAGTTTGCTCATTGTCCTTATTTTGCATTGTTAAGTAATTTCTTGTTTTTTAGCACCATTTTATAATAAATAATTGCATTTAAAAATGTCTTGTGTTTTTAACCATTTTTGTGTAAGTGATACAAGTAACAGGACTTCTAATTGATGAACTAGGGAGCAAGGCTACTAGAAGATTTGAAATCCCCCTTCAGATGAAAGAATTAGCAAATTGTGCAAGTTAATAATACTATAGTGGTCTCCAACCTCTATAGCAGTCACCCGGGACTCAAAGTTGTTATAGTAGGTGTGAAATCTCTTACCGCTATATCAGTCATAAGTGATCTATTTTGGTTAATGGCTTATGAAAGTTTGTAAAGAGCAGAAGCCCAATGTTTTTAAGGACAGAAAGTGACGAGAAACAAAAGGGGGATTAGGCAAAAACAAAAGGGAGATTAAGTGGAAACACGAAAAACACTTTTTCTCTGGTTTTTCGGAGGATTTTCTCTTCATCTTCAATTCTCTTCTCTAGGTTTAGGGTTTTGGAGAGTTTTGTAGAGAAATTGGTTGTGAGAGTTGTTCGTTATGTAGACGATTGTTTACATAGTTTAAACGTCTTTTGGTGAGTTAGGTCGATTGATTTGATTTATCCCAATTAGCAAGAGATTGAAATTGACTCCATTAGGATTTAAGCTATTGCAATTGATAATTAAATTTGCATAGGTTTATAGGTTTACGATTATAAGCATTAGCTCTTGTGTTAATTGAATCCTTAACAAAAGTGCGATCGTATGATTGTTAAGTAGAATTGCAACATTGATTATGCGATTGTAGAATCTACGTAGGTAGCTACCACCATGACTTTATTCTATTGAACTTGGGATAAAATAATTATTGATCTGAAAGAATCTCTGTGCAGGTAATTTTTACAATATAATTCTTTTCTCAATTTAAGTTCTTTCCTACAATTCTAAAAACCTTAATTTCATATAATCAATTACATTACTTCCACGTGAGACGACCTGGATTACACTATGCTGCATTTTCTGTGTAATTTGGTTATAAAAATTATTATAATTTGTCGTGAGTAGTGACAATTCACACGTTTACAACTCTTGCATGCTTCTGTAATGACAATAAATTTTATCTCTTAGTAGATAATGTTACACACTTTTGTAATCATGATTGTCAAGTCCCCCTACAAACTTAATGAAATAGCCCGAAGTGGACTTTCTAAAATCAATATATCCAACCATATTTGAGTCTGAGTAACCCATCAAAATGGGTTTATTACCTCCAAAACAAAGTTTCAAATCATTAATATCATGAAGATACCTCAAAATCCATTTCACAATATTTCAATGTTCTCTACTTGGATTGGACAAGAAACAACTAACTATACCAAAAACATGTGTAATATCAGGTCTAGAACATACCATTGCATATATCAAACTTCCAGCTACAAATTCATAAGGAATTTTACTCATATATGATTTCTCAACTTCATTTGAAGGATTTTTCTTAACACTAAATTTAAAATGAGTTGCAAGAGAAATGTTCACTACTTTAGCATTTTTCATCAGAAATATCTGCAACACCTTCTTAATGCATTGCTCCTATGATAGCCAAATCTTCTTTTCACTTCTATCACGTGAGATACTTATGTCAAGTATCTTTTTAGCAGCTCCCATATCTTTAATAGAAAATGACTCGCCTAATTGTTTCTTTAACCTGTCAATTCTGGAAATATTTTTCTCAACAATAAGTATGTCATCAACATATAACAACAGGATGATAAAGTCATCATTAGAGAGCTTTCTAACAAAGGCACTATGATCCGAAGTAGTCATTTTATTTATAATATGATCACACATAAAAGACTCAAACTTCTTGTACCACTATCTTGGAGTCTGTTCCAAACCATATAGACTTTTTTTAGTCTACATACATAATCTTCCTTACCTTCAACAAGAAAACCATCATGTTGTTTCATGTAAATCTCTTCCTCCAAATTACAATGAAGGAAAGTTGTCAGCTAAAATTAACACAACTCTGATGGATGATATTTTCACCACAGATGAGAAAATCTCATTGAAATCAATACTCTTTTTTTGTCTAATACCTTTCACCACTAATCTAGTTTTGTACCTTAAAGATGTAGAATTAGTCTCTTGTTTCACGCTGAAATTAACATGTTCTCTAAAGCCTTTAGACAATTTTACCAAGTCATAAGTGTGATTATCATGCAAAGATTTCATCTCATCTTGCATTGCATCCAACCACTTTTGTTTTTCCTCACTTTCCAAAACTTATTCTAAACACTCAGGTTCTCCACCATTAATCAAAGTTACATACTCTTCAGAAGAATACTTGGAAGACGATTTCTCAACCTATTGGACCTCCTAGCAGGGACTTGTGGTAATTCAAGTATATTATTATCTTCTTCTTGAGCATCATCAATTAGAATCTCTACACCTTCTCCAACTTATTGATCATTAACATTACCATGTTACTCATCATTTTGAGCATCAGTCTCAATATTGAAAGTGATGAAGATCTTATTGAAATACTTTGGCAAAGATCTTATTGATTTGATCAAGTCAAAGATGAAGTCAAAGGCAACTTTGTAGCGGACAAAAGTCACTTAGATAAAAGAGTAGAGGGATTAGTATGTCTGCAGCTCTGCTTAGGTATAATCATTTTTATCTTTTCTGCTGCATGAGGTTTCTTCACTTAAAAGATTTTGCAAAATGCCTCAAAAAACGTTTAAACAGTTAAAAACAAAGTATTTTGACAAAAACTTTCTTAAACAAGTTTTTAACTGATATAATTTCGAAATAACCGATTGATATCACTAAAGAAAGTTTTGAAAATCTTCTGTCAGTATTTTAACTGATACAACTTCGAAATAACCGATTAAAATCACTTAAAATGTTAAGAGAAGTGTTTTTGCAGTATTTTAATCGATACAACTTAGTTTTAATCGATTAAAACCACTTAGAGTTCAGGATGATCGATTAGAATGCAATAATGACCGATCAGAATCAGATATGATCGATCAGAATTGAGTTATGACCGATCAGTTGTTTTTAATCGATTAAAACATGTTTCAATCGATTAAAACATGTTTCAATCGATTAAAACAACTTAGAAAATTTCTACACAGCGTTTTAATCGATTAAAACTTATTTTTATCAGTTAAAATCACTTGGAAAATTTTACAAGAAAGTTTTGCAGTATTTTAATCGATTGAATCACGAAACAATCGATTAAAACAAATTAGAAGATTTTTTGTAAAGAGTTTTAATTGATATAAACGTTGTCGTATCAGTTAAAACAAATCTGTTAAAAAATCAAGAACGTTTTAATGGATTAAAAGAAGTTTAACAGATTAAAACTACACTTTTAACAGATTAAAAGATTATTTTAACAGATTAATTAAACC